GCATGTTTCTCGGGCAAGGATGAATTTCGGTCAAAAACCCCGAACTTGCCTTTAGATACGATGAAACGCTGCAATTATTAGCTAACTTAGATCGGCGCAACGGAATCACTGCAAGGTCTTAGGATGTGATTGTCTCCAGCAACAATTCAGATCGTAGAGGCTTCGGGCTCTCTCAGACAGTAACACTTAGGGTTTCCCTTAAAATTTTGGCCTAGGCATTATTTAGCGACTTCTTCAATTTTTGACTATAGTGCTTTCTGAAACGCAACAATTTCCCTAACGGAGGTTCAGTGAGTTGAAGTGAGAAGAATTGGTCTTTCTGTCAGGCCTATGGGTAAAACCTATGGGATCATTGGCGCAGTAAACCTACCCTGAGCCTGTTTCCATTTGTGAGTAGTACTGAAGGGCCCAAACAAGTTCTCGAAATGTTAATGTGCTCACAGCAGAGTTTTTTGCCAATAGCTCTATGAACCCTTCTTGACGACCTTTTACAAAAATCAGCTTTGTTAAACAGGTAGGAGAGGTTTCGCTTCACATTACAGGCGAGACGGTTACGAAAATGATCTGCACATTTTTTTTTGGTTTCTGAATCTTGGCGGTACATATGTATATGGTGTTGAGGACGCTTGACTCTCTCCTATGTACGTTGGACGATTTGCTTTCCGTGAAAGGTGTGTGCTGTGTGCTGCCGCCTGAGCGCACCCCGAAGCGTCTACCGAGTGTACGCTTGCTCTGACTGGTTGAAAAGTTTCGAATACCACAATCACGAGACAAAATTCACTCACCTTAGAGGGATTTGTGTCAATCATCACATGAACGGGTGAGACATTCGGCGCTGAAAATGATGTATTTCTCAGTTGAAACAAATAGTATAAATAGAGTAACAATAACAAATAATATAAATATATAATAAGTTCAAATAGTACTTATTAAAGTAGTCTAGTTGATCAATCCCTTTAAGGGATGCACGCATTCTACTTCCATTTGTACATTCGCAGTGGCATTTGAATGCGATGTGGCCTATACAATGACTTGCGGGGGCCAGCCGATGTACAAGTCAGTGTTTTTATCCTCCCAGACAAGTCTGGTACCAATTAACCGACCCCGGAGGGATGGAAGGCTTGGTTGGCCCGGGCGATATACGACATAAGGAATTGGATGGTACACGTGGTAAGCAGCTTCACTTGCCCCTACACAGCTTCCGCCCCGAGTGACGGAGGTGATGCACTGGCAAGTGATGTCGATTCCCACCCACACGTAAAGGGGTTCTATCCTGCGATTGAGTTTCGCCCAGATCCACCAAACTTTGTATACTTCGGGTTGGTCAATTTTTATCAGTCTTATCTGAGAAGGGCGGAAGTGGTGTAGTGACAAGTGGCGCGCTTACCACGCGAGCGGTCCGGGGATCAAATCCTGGGTCGTGAGTCGCCCGGGCCAACCAAGCCTTCCATCCCTCCGGGGTCGGTTAATTGGTACCAGACTTGTCTGGGAGGATAAAAACACTGACTTGTACATCGGCTGGCCCCCGCAAGTCATTGTATAGGCCACATCGCATTCAAACGCCACTACGAAAGTAGAATGCGTGCCGCATCCCAAAAGGGATTGATCAACGGCAAATGCTTTATCCTTTATCCTTTTACCCATATCCGGGAGGATAATAACACTGACTTGCACCGACTGGCGCCGCAGGCCCCGTTAGGCCAAATCACATTCACGTGCTACTTCGAATGTATGTACAAATAAGAAGTGGGATGCTTGTCGCATTCCAGAAGGTGATTGATCAAATGAATGTTGTATGGCTTGGCGTTAACATAGCATGTTCATGCACTGAAATGTATTCTCCTTGAAAGTATAAACGATTCGATATATGATTTCAAGGTGACGCTACGTAGCATGCGGAATTCCCTCCATAAGCGAGAGTTGATCAATCACTATTACTACTATTACTATTTTCTTAGAACATCGAATAATCTTTGATATGTGCAGACAGTTTTCACAAAATAGTGGAACATTCAGCTTTTCCCTTATTTCCATTTCTATCCACATTTTACTAAACAAAACCCCTAACTAGAGTTCCTCTTTTCACACAGTTGAAGTGCGCTGTTAAGGAGGTGAGATCGGAAGGAAGTTAATGGGCAAGCTTAGAACGCGCTGCAAGAACTTGTTGTTCCAAAGACTGGACGTTGCAGCTCTGCTTGCGCAGATTTCACGTAACCTAATCCCAGTAACCCGAAAACTACCTGTGATAATCTTCACCCAAACGTCTTGGCTCACAATCAGTGAATGTAGTTATAGCGAATATAAAATGAGGTTTGATCAGTTGATGTTCCAGTAATGGCAGCATAACTTCAAAAGTACCAGAGTGATGAATTTCGCCTATTACGAGTGAACCAGTTTGAAAATCTGCCTGGTAATGTTGATTTCAAGGTTATTTCAATGATAGTGGCTTTGTGATGAAACCAGGAAGGAAGATTAAACACTTCCATGACCTATCCTATTTACAATGGTAGAATATGTGCTGTTGGCGCGGCGAGAAAGGGCAAAGTGTTAAGGGCGGTAGATCGGTACCGCTGCTGAACACCGTTCCTCTTGCTCACGATTCAAGCGTCTACGCGGCGGGGAGTCTGCGCATCGCTCGCCTGATTGCTCCCTCGTCCGTTCGTCTGTTCTTTCGCCCAGGCAGACAATATCTCCAGGCTGCATGCCAACTCAACTAACTGTGAAAAGAGAAATCATTTTACCTTCTGTTTTCGGCGGTTTCCCCCTTTTCTTTCAACGGTGGCGCACTTTTTGCTATAACGGCGTTTTCGAGCGATACAATAGCACCAATT